CCTAGATGCAAAAATCCTCAATAAAATTCTGGCCACTCGGATACAAAAACATATCAAAAAAATTGTACACCATGATCAAGTAGGATTCATCCCTGGGATGCAAGGCTGGTTCAATATACGGAAATCAATAAATGTTATTCACCACATCAATAGACTTAAAAATAAGAACCATATGATCATCTCGATAGATGCGGAAAAAGCATTCGACAAAGTACAGCATCCCTTTATGTTCAAAACTCTAGAAAAACTAGGGATAACAGGAACATACCTCAATATTGTAAAAGCAATCTATGCTAAGCCTCAGGCTAGCATCATTCTAAATGGAGAAAAACTGAAGGCATTCCCTCTAAAATCTGGAACAAGACAGGGATGCCCTCTCTCTCCACTTCTCTTCAACATAGTTCTCGAAACACTGGCCAGAGCAATTAGACAGACGAAAGAAATTAAAGGCATAAAAATAGGAAAAGAAGAACTTAAATTATCACTATTTGCAGATGATATGATTCTATACCTAGCAGACCCAAAAGGCTCTACAAAGAAACTATTAGAGCTAATAAATGAATTCAGCAAAGTGGCAGGATATAAAATCAACACGCATAAATCAAAGGCATTCCTGTATATCAGCGACAAATCCTCTGAAATGGAAATGAGGACAACCACTCCATTCAAAATATCTTCAAAAAAAATAAAATTCTTGGGAATCAACCTAACAAAAGAGGTGAAAGACTTATACAATGAAAACTACAGAACCCTAAAGAGAGAAATAGAAGAAGATCTTAGAAGATGGAAAAATATACCCTGTTCATGGATAGGCAGAACTAACATCATCAAAATGGCGATATTACCAAAAGTTCTCTATAGGTTTAATGCAATGCCAATCAAAATCCCAACGGCATTTCTTGTAGAAATAGAGAAAGCAATCATGAAATTCATATGGAAAAATAAAAGACCCAGAATAGCAAAAACAATGCTAAGCAGGAAGTGTGAATCAGGCGGTATAGCGATACCAGACTTCAAACTATACTACAGAGCAATAGTAACAAAAACAGCATGGTACTGGTACCAAAACAGGCGGGTGGACCAATGGTACAGAATAGAGGACACAGAAACCAATCCACAAAACTACAACTATCTTATATTTGATAAAGGGGCTAAAAGCATGCAATGGAGGAAGGATAGCATCTTCAACAAATGGTGCTGGGAAAACTGGAAATCCATATGCAACAAAATGAAACTGAATCCCTTTCTCTCGCCATGCACAAAAGTTAATTCAAAATGGATCAAGGAGCTTGATATCAAATCAGAGACGCGCCGTCTGATAGAAGAAAAAGTTGGCTAGGATCTACAGTCGGTGGGGTCGGGCTCCAAATTCCTCAATAGGACACCCATAGCACAAAAGTTAATAACTAGAATCAACAAATGGGACTTACTCAAACTAAAAAGTTTTTTCTCAGCAAAAGAAACAATAAGAGAGGTAAATAGGGAGCCTACATCCTGGGAACAAATCTTTACTCCTCACACTTCAGATAGAGCCCTAATATCCAGAGTATACAAAGAACTCAAAAAATTAGACAATAAGAGAACAAACAACCCAATCAACAAATGGGCCAAGGACCTGAACAGACACTTCTCAGAGGAGGACATACAGTCAATCAACAAGTACATGAAAAAATGCTCAACATCTCTAGCTGTCAGAGAAATGCAAATCAAAACCACCCTAAGATACCATCTCACTCCAGTAAGATTGGCAGCCATTATGAAGTCAAACAACAACAAGTGCTGGCGAGGATGTGGGGAAAAGGGTACACTTGTACATTGCTGGTGGGACTGCAGATTGGTGCAGCCAATTTGGAAAGCAGTATGGAGATTTCTTGGAAAGCTGGGAATGGAGCCACCATTTGACCCAGCTATTCCCCTTCTTGGTCTATTCCCTAAAGACCTAAAAAGAGCATGCTACAGGGACACTGCTACATCGATGTTCATAGCAGCACAGTTCACAATAGCAAGACTGTGGAACCAACCTAGATGCCCTTCAATAGACGAATGGATAAAAAAAATGTGGCATTTATACACAATGGAGTATTACTCTGCATTAAAAAATGACAAAATCATAGAATTTACAGGGAAATGGATGGCATTAGAGCAGATTATGCTAAGTGAAGCTAGCCAATCCCTAAAAAACAAATGCCAAATGTCTTCTTTGATATAAGGAGAGTAACTAAGAACAGAGTAGGGACGAAGAGCAGGAGAAGAAGATTAACATTTAACAGGGATGAGAGGTGGGAGGGAAAGGGAGAGAGAAGGGAAATTCCATGGTAATGGAAGGAGACCCTCAGGGTTATACAGTGGAGGAGGTAGAGAGAGAGGAGGGGAGGGGAGGGGAGAGGTGGGGAGGGGGGAGGGTGGAGGATGGGAAAGGCAGCAGAGCACAACAGACACTAGTATGGCAATTTGTAAATCAATGGATGTGTAACTGATGTGATTCTGCAATCTGTGTATGGGGGGAAGGTGGGAGTTCATAACCCACTTGAATCAAAGTGTGGAATATGATATGTCAAGAAATTTGTAATGTTTTGAACAACCCACAATAAAAAATTAAAAACACACACACACACACACACAAAAAAAAACCTATTGGCTTAATATTTTATTCAATCATATTTTATGGAATTTCTACTAGATGATAAGCTACAGAGGACAAAAATGTCTGCATTATTTTTCCCCACTACCAATTTTCTAAAACCCAAACCTGTGCTTGGCACAGAATACGAGATCAAAAATACATGTTAAATAATCAAGTGCCGCTGATTGAAGGCAGCTTTATTCTATGAGCTGGGGACATGCTAAAAAGCAAGAATATACACAGAGCTCCTGTTGAAGAGCTTACTTGAGGGAAATATAACAGAGATTGATCATAAAAACAAATATCAAATACCCAATGTGACAGTACTGCAAAGCAGAGGTGTGTCGAAAATGTGCAGTGAGGGTCTAGAGTAGAGGGATCTTGCTGGGGGATCCCTGAAGAATGACCTAAGATGTAAGGATGACTAAGTAGTAACCAGAGGACAAGGAGAAGAATAGGCCACGTGTTTACTTTCCCCTCAGTTACTTTCTCTCTCTCTCACTCTCATGTCTACCTTTAGTAATTATCATTGCAGACTCTTCCTAAGTTTTCCGGCTACCTTAGTGTGCTGGCTACTTATGGACTTTTGCGTAAATCTCAAGTGTGTCTAGCCCTGCTTTTAGGAAACAGCCAAAACTTTGTCTTCTATTAAAAATGCCAGTGTTATTTTAGAAATCAAGGATGAAAATCAAAGAGAAACTGAATTAAAAAGAACATCACCTTTTCTGCTTATTCACTTTGCTGTGTGCTAAGGAAGTGCCTTATGATATGTACTTTAAATAGACTTTAATTGGTTGGTCATTAGGTTGGATGGTTCGTTGCTTGGATGGATGGGTGGGTGGGTGAACGGGCGGATGGATGACTGATTAACTGGCTAGCTGGATGTTGGTTGGTTGGCTAACTAATTGGATGATTAGCTGACTAGAAGTCAGATGTTTTTTGGTTGGCTAACTGGCTGGTTGATGGATTGGATGGTTGTTTAGTGAATAAAGGTGAATGAAGGTGGTAGATTAGCTGTGATGTTAAAGTCAGACCTGATTTTATTCAGTTTCAAACTTTCTCTGTCTCTAAAATATTGAAAAATTTGCCCACGCTCTGTAAGTCTTCATTCTTTATAAAAAAAAAAAGTTCTTTTCTTACAGGCTATAGTAAGGATTAAGTAAGGATTAAGGCAACATTACTTATAAAGTTTTAGCAAAGTACCTAGGATATACTAAGCATTCACCAATATCGGTTCACTGAAGAATTGGCCTAGGACGTAGCTCAGTGGCAGAGGGCTTGCCCTGCAAGCATAAAGCCCTGGGTTCACTCCCCAAAACCACAAAAAATAAATAAGAGAGAAAGAAAGAAGTTTGAGTGTTTAAACGATGACATTGTTAATTCTAATCATTCAAATATGTTTCACTGCTACAAATATTCATATATTATAAAGCAGAAGTACATATACCCAAGATGGATTGAAAGCATGTAGAAAACTAATGGCACACTAACTAGCGATTTTCTTCCTTGACAGATTAAAATTGAATTCTCCTCCCCCACTCTTCTATTGCCCTCTTATTACATTATTACAGGGCTCATTAGGAAAGTAATTACTCTGTTAAAAAAAGGGGGGCTGGGGTTGTGGCTCAGTGGCAGAGTGCTTGCCTAGCATGTGTAAGGCACTGGGTTTGATTCTCAGCACCACATATAAATAAATGAATAAAATAAAAGTCCAAATCAAGGTCTAAAAAAATATTTAAAAATAAAAAATTTTAAAGGGGCATAATACATTCTTTCTTCACATGGATGGTAGTGGTTTACCCAGATCTTTGCTTTATAATTATTTGCTAACCTGAACATTGTTTTTTTATGTATTTTTAATATATACTCTCACACCCATACATAAGGGAAGTAAAATTGACATGAAAATTTGACGGAATAGGATCAAACAGATTGAATTTAAACCTAGGTTAGGTCTGCATGAGCAAATGGAAGGGAATATTAAACAGTATATCCCTGATAGTAAAAAATAGGAGATGAAGTTTATTCTAAACTCTCTAGATTGTCTCTGTGTTACAGACTGAGTAGTTTAGGGTGGCAAATACCTGAATATTTTTTGTCTTGCAAACTGCACTTAAGTTACTCAAGAGCAGGCTCTTCCTGCATCGTTTGCTTTGTGTCTAACACAAGGTGGAACCAGATTCTCTTTCACAGACCTGGTCAGCACAGTCTCTCTGCACAGATGCCACTGTGCCATCTCTTCCAGCCATCATTGTTAACATTCATGCCAGGTGTGCATGATTTCAGAGACAGCGGTCCTGATTTATTAAATGCCATCAGAAATAAAGTCAAGAATTACACATCTCCATTACTAACAAGTAGCTTTTGGTGTTTTCAGCGCCGGCTGGGAGATGCAGCAAAGAAAGCCATCAGCAAGCTCCAGGTCAGGACCATCAAGAAGGGTGACAAGGTAACAGCCTCTTTTCTTTTTGGTGGGAAACTATTCAAAGCAGTTGCTCTCCTTTGGTTTTCTGACAGAGTAGAAGAGAGTGAAGAATGGAAAAGGGAAATACGTGCTTAAAGTCGTCCTGTAAGCATCTGATACGTGCCCTTTTTTTAGTCTGAAGGATAGATGTGCTATTAGTATTATATGCTATTAAATATTATTTAAAGCAGTTTATGAAATGCATTCAGTAGGACAAAAAAAACCCATTTGCTGCAGAATATGAGAAATGGAAAAGTAAGTGTACAAGAAAATGGATAAAGCCAAGATGACATTACTGCACAAATGCATTACCTGAAACAGGTAATGGAAATGGATACTAAATTAGGTCGGGGCTTTCCAGCAACCAGTGCAAAGAAGGAAACAAAATTCAATATTCAAATGATATTTGACTGCAATGTCCCACAAGATAAAAAAAACAAAAGAGTTATTCCCAGTATTTTGACCTGAAAAAGTTTGTCCAGTAATCCTCACAGGGAAGATAAAGCTATGTGCAGAGCTCTGTTCTACACTCATGTCTAGAGTCTAAACACAAAAAGTATATCAGTTCCTATGAAATTTAGTATTCAGGACACCCCAATATCATTGCAACAGTCTCCTTCACTGTAGAATCATGGAATAAAGCCAGAAGCAATCATAGCATCGTAAGAAAGGACAGGAAAAAGTACAGTCCAGGCTTGCAGGCCTTTAAAGGTCTCTTTGATCTCCCAGGAGATGTTTAGATCAATGGATTACAACACAGTTCGAAGGACTGGGGCTCCTTGGAGCATTGTAAGGGATCCACAATTCCACATGTGTAGCAGCTATTGACTGTAGTCTGAAGGATTGATGTGCTATTACTATTATATGCTATTACTTTTTAACTCTCTGAAAACACTATTGGGTGCATTAAGATAAATTCTTTCAAAAGCATTCCTAAATTTGAAGTCCATTTTGATCATTCCTTTTTCCTCTTCAATCAGAGAATAATAAAAGTCCAAGGGCTATGACATAGTAATAAATTTTTGAGGTATTAAAAGAAATTTATGTACTTGAAAAAATTAAAAACATTCTTTTGTGTTTCTGTTTAGTTTATGTATTAGATTATAGAGGAATAGGTGGATCAAATATCATTCAGATATGGATAAAAAAAATGTGGCATTTATACACCATGGAGTACTACGCAGCACTAAAAAATGACAAAATCATAGAATTTGCAGGGAAATGGATGGCACTAGAGCAGATCATGCTTAGTGAAGCTAGCCAATCCCTAAAAAACAAATACCAAATGTCTTCTTTGATATAATGAGAGCAACTAAGAACAGAGCAGGGAGGAAGAGCAGGAAGAAAAGATTAACATTAAACAGATACATGAGGTGGGATGGAAAGGGTGAGAAAGGGAAATTGCATGGTAATGGAGGGAGACCCTCATTGTTATACAAAATTACATATAAGAGGTTGTGAGGGGAATGGGAAAATAAACAAGGAGAGAAATGAATTACAGTGGATGGGGTAGTGAGAGAAGATGGGAGGGGAGGGAGGGGGGATAGTAGAGGATAGGAAAGGTAGCAGAATACAACAGTTACTAATAGGGCATTATGTAAAAATGTGGATGTGTAACCGATGTGATTCTGCAATCTGTATTTGGGGTAAAATTGGGAGTTCATAACCAACTTGAATCTATTGTATGAAATATGATATGTCAATAGCTTTATAATGTTTTGAACAACCAATAAAAAAAAAATTAAAAAAAATATCATTCAGATAGTTCTCCATAAATGTTATTTGTTATCCTCAAGATTCTGATATGTCACCTCTCCTTGTAATTGATAGCATTATTAGTAAAAGTACATGAGGAAATGGTTTTCCTCACTAAAGCACTTGCAGTGGCACCTAGAAATACAAAGTGGGGTTGGAAAGAATGCCAACTACACCGATAGCCAGTAAATTATTGATGAAGAAAACTAGCAAAGGCTGTTGAAAGCCTGGCTCCAGACACGCTGTCCTTTGGTTTATTTGGTATTTACTCATGAAGCCAGGAGGGTGGTCTCATCTGCACTGCTCCTGTTGCAGGAAACAGAGCCGGATTTTGACAACTGTGCAGTTTGTATTGAAGGATACAAGCCCAACGACGTGGTCAGGATCCTGCCCTGCCGGTGAGTGACTGGCTGCCTGCCCTGGATGGCTGGTGTGTGGAGAGTGCCTGCTGGCCACCCTGGCTTGGACCCGCCGGCCTTGCTGGGCAATGTCACTGGGCCTCCATGTTGCCAGCTGCACTTGGCAAGCATGCCTTCTTTTCTGGTAACCTTAGTCCTTGAAAAGGCTTTGGCTTACTGGGCACAGTGGCACATACCTGTAATACCAGCAGGTTGGGAGGCTGAGGCAGGAGGATTGTGAGTTCAAAGCCAGACTTACCAAAAGCAAGGTGTTAAGCAACTCAGTGAGAACCTGTCTCTAAAATAAAATATTTTTTTAAATGACTGGGTATGTGACCCAGTGGTTAAGGCCCCCTGGGTTCAATCCTCAGTACAATCAATCAATCAATCAGTCAATCAATCAATAAAGGCTTTGGCTCATGGAATTAGATATATTTTCCTGATCCCCTTTGCATCAAAAGGAGGATAGCCTTATGATCTGGACCCTCTTGATACAGAACCTGCTGATGTGAATCCAGATATGAGTTTTCTTGAAAAAAAGAAAAAGCAGCTCTCTCTTGCTCAGAATCAGTTCTGCTAATTTAATTAAAATAATTCTTGAAAAATGTTTTGTGGAAGATCATAAAGGCTCAGCCATCAGAATATAGTCAGGAGTAAGTACAAAGCCAAAAGCAGATTCCATTTCTCTTCATTTTTTTTTTTAACTAACAGAAAGTGAACATGACAATCAAATTTTCCCCAAATTTTGGAATTTAGAAGAAGAAGCAGGCATGTAGAGCTGGGAACACTCCCCAGGCAATCCTCACGTAACCCTCCCCATCCCTCTGCCTAATTGAAATTCACTGTGAAGGTGTTGGAATTCTTTTTAAATTGTTAAAATCCAATCAGTTTAAATACTCTAATTAAATCAAGAAATTTAAGGTTTCATAAAAGCCATCCTCCTTAATTGAAAATCCTTTTTAGTATTTTTGTATCCATGCAAGCATCCTAAAAATAAAAATGGAATTATGCTTTGATGAGGAATTCTTCACTTAAAAGGAATGACTTTAATTCTTTGTGAGTTTTAAAGTAAATAACATAGAAAAACACACCACAAAGATATTCATCAATCCATTGGTTCTTGAAACAATGCAAATTTTAAGAGCTATTTATTGGAAATACAAAAGAAAGAAAATACGGCTTTAGAGGATTTGGTCAAATAATCTCAAAATAACACAAAAGGACTGGATACCCCAACTGATGCAGAAACTCCCAAAGGGAATAGATGTTTCTCAAAATGTTCTTAGGCAAACTGATCATTACAAAAATGGGCATTAGGAAAATCCATCCAGAGCCCCAGGTTTTGTTTATAGATGCCCGTCTGCCTGTGGGACAAAATCATAAACAGGGACACATGGAAGCTTGGTAGTTCCTCTGTCTGAGGTTGCTCCATGTAAATTCTTTCTACACGCTACACCTCATGTCTACTGGATGACTTCCAGGAACAAGGGCAAAGAATGACACTGAACTATGGAAAACCTCCCAGGGTGACGTCTTTCATCTCTGCTGCATTTTATTAAGGATTTGTAAAGCCCTGTGGTTATAAGTAAGTCCAGTGCTTGTCTTGACTTTCCTTCTAGGAGACTGCTTAGAGCCCTATGAAGGTACTACTAATAAAAAATAACCCAAGCCAGTTAAACAGCTGCTTTTTTCCTGAGAATCCTAAGAACTTTACAATTGTAATTAAGAAAATCTGTGTTAAAAATTATATGTATGCATATATTGCATTGCTTTAGCTGTACAGTCATACAGCATAAAATAATATATTCATTTAGAGCTCCATCATGCATGAATTTCATGTTCCTCTCTGCAATTGCTGGAGGCTACATAATAGCCAACACAGAGTTGTACCACAATTTAATTTACTATACCCAGTTTGGGAACATTTCACTGGTTTCAGTTTCTAATTATGACAAATTACATTGCTTTAATGGTATTTAGATTTTTATGTTGTTCCAGACCTCCTTTTATAGTGTAATTTTTTTGGAAATATTCATCAAGAAAAAGTAACATTTAATATTTTCCATAAAGAAAAAGGACTTCAGGAAATTTCAGTTTATTCCCACTGGCGCTTTCCCTAGGAATATTAGTTTCTCCTACATTCTTCTCCTTTTCAGTTTGGCTTTAGGCTCCTCCTTTTTACCTGGTTCTTTGGTTCTCAGCTCATTCCTTAATTCTTTTTGCTTCAAGTTCCTTAGCACTCATCTATTTTTTTTATTTCCTTATTGAGCATTCTGCTTTAAATAACAAAACACACCTCATTACCAAACACAAGTTATAGTTAATTACTGTTTGAGCTTCACTAGTCACACATACGTATTCTTTAAATAGCTCGTGCATTTCTTTCCATGCTGATATTCAAATCAAAATATTTTTATGCCTGTTGCTGGTTCCTGCCAGACGGTTTTCACTAATGGATGTTATCAAACAAATGTGGAGACATTTAGTTTTTGCTAGATAATTTCCTCTGGGGTGTTATTAAACCTTTGCTCCCATGAACACCAAGGTCTCCCTTTCCTATTATTTCCAGGCTGACTCATCCACAGCATTCTTTGCATCTCTTTGGAGTAAAAAATGGTTTCCAAACAATGTCCCAATGTATCCAGTCCTTTCTCTCAAATTTTGTCTGTAGCCTCATAACCCCTGACATGCTGGGTGCATCTCATTTAGGATGTTTTTCCAAATCACCCAGGTTCACACTTTTGCACAGCATTTTCCAACTCATTCTCTTATCTCTTTCCAAGACCCCTGCACAAATGATGATAGTTAGTCAATGCCCTCCCTCCTCATTTGTGGTCTTGGTGGTTATTAAAGTTACACTGTGCACATGCAAACCCGTGGCTCCTTCCTGTTGACTCTTCCTTCTTTCAGTCCCTCTCTAGCACTCAAAGAGGAGTCTCCTTGGGCTGAGGTTGTGGCTCAGCAGTAGTGCGCTCGCCTAGAACATGCGAGGCCCTGGGTTCCATCCTCAGCACCACATAAAAGTAAATAGGTAAAATAAAGGTATTGTGTCCAACTAAACTAAAAAATAAATATTAAAAAATACAAAAAGAGGAGGTGCCTTGGTGTAAGCTTGGACATGCGTGCACAGTGTAAGGCACAGATCCACAGCAGGACACCTAGTATGTCGGGTGGCATGGGTCTAACTTGTGTGCTTTGGATCTGATCCTAACACACTGCTAAGGCATTTTCCAAGAAACTTTGGTTTGCTCCATCATTAAGCTTTTGCTAGATTTTAAGGCTAGATTTTTTTTTGTGATGGGTTAATATCCATGATTATGTTTTTAACAATATTTTATTGAAGCTTTGTTGTCTTCCTTTGTCTGGAGAATAAGTCGGGCTCTCTGTTCCTTCCATGGCTTTTATCTTATTGTATTCCCACTGTTCTTCAATAATTATTCATTTCTATTTATCCAATTGCAAACACACAGTGTCTGAAAAAGAATGTGAATTCCTTGGGCAGACCAAAAGTTCATGTTTGCCATGTTTTAAAAAAACCAAAGCAATATTTGCATTTCTTTCCAACAATCTACAAAATGTTTTTTCCAATCTCTAATTTATCATATATCATATCACTCATTTGTGCAAATATTAGTTTCTACTACATTCTTTCACTTTGATCTGGAATAATCTCCTCCACAATTGAAGAAATACTTAAAAGCTGCCTAGTAATAAGCAGATCTTTATGAAAAACTTTGTAGCAACTAAATGCTTCCTTTGGAACAACAAATATTTTATAGCAGCTGTATTTCAGGAGTAGTAGAAAGTACCAGAAATGAAAAGATAAATGGCATAGTTCATGCTCTAAAGGAAATAGTCTAATGGGAAAAAAATTTCAATAAGTAATCAGAATACAGAATGATATGTGCAACTATAATAAAAAATTATAGAAAATTTGCAAAATGAATAAAATGATTGAATATCTGCCTAACTCCCTCATGCAGATAACTATTGCTAACATTTTTGCATATCTCTTTCCTTTTGTTTCTTGTGCCTATTTGTGCAAGGTCAAGATATTATTGTCAACATCATTTAATATCCTTTTCTTTTCCCTTATTGTTGAGAGAATTCACTAGAAATAGTCCTAGATTATCTGTGCCCTGTTTTGACCTTTTTTTTTTTAACCTCTGAAGCTGCAGCCAGACCCAATCAAGCTCTTCCTTACATAAACCAACCCAATAGCCTAGAATGTCAGTACTTCTGCAGAAACCTTTCTTGAAAGTCTTTTCATGGCCCAGCCAGACTTTTCCACGGAGGGAAAACAGGAACTTGTCCTGGCCCCCTTGAGCTTACCTAATAATCCACTGATGAGCTGTTCACAGTTCACCTTTCCACCTCACTATGGAAGACAGAGAACAGTGTCTCATGGTTGATGCTATCATTGGCTGATGTGTCCTGCAGAGGCACCGTGTCTTGCTGGGTTGTTATCAGCAGAGTTGGATGACAAGTAAAATCCTCTCAAACAGAATTTATTATCTTGTGCAGATGGTCCCCAATTCTCACCTTGTTCACAACCTCTGACCTCTAGTTACTTTTTGTAAATAGTGCTTCCTGGCTGGTACTCCAAGAAGCGGCACTGGCAATGCTGCATGGAATTGAAAGAGGTCTTGATAGCAGGACACATAGAGATGGTTGAATAAAGTAAAGAACTAATAACACCTATCCTGAAACCTTCTAGTCAGAAAGTGCACCCCTGATGTTTAACATCCAAACATTGAAGCTGATTTCCAACAGCATGGAGATGCCATCCTTGGCCATGCCTGCTCTGACAGTGAAGTCAGCAGCTCCCCAGGCCCAGGGTTTATTGGACTCCTTGCTCTTCACAATGGGATCTGAGGTGTGCCTGAGCAAGATCCTCTGTTAAAGCACGTAACTCTGGTGTAGATTTCTGGGCTTGGAAAATATATATGACGAATTTTACTTTTTTGACCATTTTCAGGTATGTAGTTCAAGGTAAAGTA